TAAATACGTACTCCATGTAATTTTTATTTTTTGTAAATACGTACTCAGTGTTATTGTTAAGCACCTTATAGTCTGACACTATTGCTAAGCACCTTATAATTTGATGACATCATTGTTGCTACTTAATAAAAAAGTACTCCGTATAACTTATAATGCAAAAGGAACAATTTTACTTAGCACGCAACATGATAACAAAATGTCATCAGTTGATACATTTTTATAAAAGAAAAAAAAAAGAAAAAAAAATAGAGTAAAATATAGGGTATTTTTTGTCATATGATATTTAAAAAAAAAAATGTTGACATAATAGCATCGAAGGTAAAAATATTGTTAAAAATCATAATTTTACATATAGTACAAATATTTACATACCACAATATAAGATTAATCTAGTTGATCTTGGTCCAATTCATCAAGAGACAACTCTCTCTTTTGGATGATGAGGAAAGCCTTGGGTAAATTTCACTCTATATACGAACCACACAAGAGAGATAAATTACACTAAAGAAACAACTCTTTTGATGGTGTTGCTAAATGTCACTACAGTAATGTTGATACATGTATATTTTTTTATAACTCGGGTTCTGATCTTCGCTAGACTATTTCATGGACCTCGTGAACTCGTCTAAAATTCATGAAAGAGATAAATCACGAGTTATCCAAATAATTCCAGATTCTTGCCGCATGGAACATGTATGTTGTTGATATATGAAGATGAAATCCACATTCTCTTGTAGTTGTGTGTAAAGTGAGGGAAAACTTTTCTCCACACAATAAATTGACATTCATAACATATATAACCGCAAAGTAAACTTAGTCACAAAGTAGCCATGGTCTTATTGTTCATTATATGCTAATAATGATATTATCACAACACACATGTGTATATGTATGTGGGCTCTAGATGGGAGATCGTGTGGGTGCGTGGAACATAAATTTTATACTATAATGTCACGAGTTAGATTACTGTCAAGAGTCTCTCAATCAAAGTATCAAACCCTTCGCACAGGCTCTCATGTGTCCAATAGTATTCATATGGGATTCGAACAAATTAAATAGTATGATAAATACATTTTCTTGATCGATTGTATTAATTTTAATTGTTAAATTACAAGATTTTTAGTTAAACAGTTAATGAATATAATAAGTATTGTAAACAAATTTTACTGCAACAAAAAAAAAATGATCTAAATTAATTTGTGTAAGTTGAACTCAATTAAGACGTGACCCGCTATTGTTAGCTCATATAATGATGTCAAAATTTTCACGTCTACATTGTAGTTGGGGCCATGCATTATCCTATTCTTTCCACCAATATATACAATACCTTAATATCCAAAAAGTTATCAAGCTAGGTTAATACTTCCTTTGTGTTACGACTTACGAGAAAGTTGACAACTACTTAATGAATGTGCACATTGTGTGATATTTATTTTTGTGACCTTAACTAACAAATAATTACAATGAAATAAATCAATTTAAATTGTTCATAGTTAAATGGCTCAAATTGAGAAAGTCAATAAATAATTCTTATAGAGTTAATAATTTAGACTCACCAAAACCTTGTTAGTTTATAGATTCAAGTAAATTTATTAGCCAAAAAAGTTGGTCCAAGACGTTAGAATGAAATTGAATTTTATTAATTTCATTCAAGGTTCATGCTTACAAAACAAACAAGCAAAAACAAAAACAAAAAATAGGGTATCTAAGACTAGTAGTCACAACAAAACAAATAGTTTAATCTGAAAATGTCACTCTCACTCTCTAACAAACAATTTTGCCTCTCCCTTTCTCCAATTCTCATGGATCTCCTTCGTCAAGCAATAACATCCATTAAGCTCGCTGACATCTTTGACTAACCATGTATATTTGAAGGAAATTAGTACTTTGTATCAGGCTGAGATTGAAATTTGTTCATTAATTATTCATTAATGTTTTTTAAATAAAAATGATCCCACAATAATCAATGGTTGGTCCACAAGCTAGACTTTAAATAATAATAATAATAATAATAATAATAATAATAATAATGCAGTGAAGCCCCTATCTTAATGCCCAAACCCATCCCCCCAGGAAAACATCCAGAGAGGCAAAAACATGGCAGCCCATAACCACTACACTCTTCATCTTCCACTTACTCTAGCTTCCATCTTGGTGCTACTGTTCACTGCAGTGTCTGCAATTCCAAATAAAAGTTTGAGGTCTATTGTAAAGGAGCTGAATGAAGAAGGCCCTTATCTTGGTCTCATCACAGTATATCCTCCAGAAGAGAATGCTTTCTTCTCAACCAACTCCTTCAAGCCTCACCCAACCCACCCTTATGTGGACTTATCAGGTTTACTTTTACATTTTTTTTTCATACTGCACTAATAGCAGCAGCTTGTGAGGTCGATCAGGAAATATATGATCATAAAAGTCTTCCCTGATTCAAGAGTACATAATGAAATCCCCGCTCACTACCTGATAGGGGAAGTCACTTGAGATCATGGTTGCAGTAGGCGCCAGTTGAGCAGTAGAGTAGGCCTAACACCTAGGCGGCTAATTATTATAAAAAAAATTAGTGCATGTGTGTCGGTGTATGTCATATATATAGGTCCATAATCAAGTAAGAACATGTAGTTGTAGACAAATCTAAATCATTGATCTAGTAGATCTAACGGTTGAAAATAAACAAACTTTATAATATTTATGAAAAGTTAAACCAGTTAACTCGGCCTAGTCGGCAGAGTTAGACGCCTAAGCGGCCGCTTAGGAGGTAATTCGCCTAGGCCCATTGTGTAACATGGTTGCATAAACAGTCCAGAAATAAAAGTGAGGCTAACTCATTTGAGTCCGGGATCAGCTCTTCCAAAAGTATTGCTATAAACACATTTGTTTAGCCAAGTAGCTTGTAGCTCTCCCAAATGGGAAGTCACAAGTCTGAATCCCAGTGTGATATGATTTTTTGTGTTCGAGTAGGTTAGGAAAGTATGTATGGACAGATACTAATCTGTAATACTATAATAAAAGTCTAAAGTGATACTTAGATTGCATATTTATTATTTATGTTGAATGCAACCTATAATATGGTTGCAAACAGGCAGGAGATTTCGGGCTGGGAAAGTAGAAGGAAAGAAAGTAATTTACGTGAAATGCGGCATTGGAATGGTGAATGCTGCAGCTGCAACACAGCAAATGCTGGATCTGTTTGACGTAACAGGAGTTGTGCATTTCGGCATAGCCGGAAACGCCAACGGTTCCTTGTCGATCGGCGATGTCACCATCCCGCGGCAATTGGTTCAGACAGGTCTTTGGGACTGGCTGGTAATTAAATTAATGCTCTACTGTTTCTGCAACCTTCAACACTCGTTTGTTTTCTTCTCCAAACTCATCGATCTCCTCTGTGAACAGAACCCTAATTCAACACTTCCTGCAAGTGACGCCGCTGTATTAGAAATCGAGAGGTATAATGTACCGGAGGGAGGAAGTAACCGATTAGGTCGAATCGGATATAACACTGAACAAAATCCGAGTAATGCTCAGAGAACTATTTGGTTTAATACTTCCAAGCATTGGCTTCGATTAGCTTCAAACTTACCGGTATTGCTTTCTTACATCGAATCCTCAGTTGTTTACAGAGAGGGATTCTGATCTGATCTTCGCTCTTTAATTTGTTGCAGGGGGTGAAGTTGGAGCGATGCGTGAATTCCAGCCTGTGCCTTTCGCAGCAGCCTAAGCTTCTCGTTGGGCTTAAGGGATCAACGTCCAACATTTTCATTGACAATGCAGCTTACAGGGAGTTCCTCTTTCAAACTTTTGGGATTTCATCAGTTGACATGGAGAGCGCGGCTGTTGTAGAGGCAAGTATGAATCTTCTTAACATCATCGTTACGTTGTGGCGTGAGAATCACTGATTTTGTGGCGGTGTTTGTGCAGACGACCGTGTCGAGTGGTTTTCCGGTGATAGTTATTCGTGGATTGTCGGACTTGGCCGGAGCTCAGAGGGGACAGAACGTGATTGGCTTGTTCGGACCTCTAGCAGCTCTAAATACTGCCAATGTGGTTAATCAATTTGTGAAGTCACTACCACCAGATACAACTGCTGGAAATTAGACTTATGTGTGGTAAGGTGACTTCCAATGACAGCAGTTTATTAGCGTTTTTGGTTGGAGCCGATCAGCTCCTAAGCTGATTTATCACCTTGTGATTATTTGCTAAGTAAGGTCACAATATGAGTCTCACTCAAAATACACCTTCTAGTAGCATTTGCATGTTTTTTCATAAATCAAAGAAAATAAGTCTTATGTAACAAGCAAACATCCTTATGCAATAAAATAGAAATGTGTTACAAGTTCACTCCCAACAGAAGCGACCTATTGACTTTCTTAATTTGAGCCAGTCAATCTAACCTAAGCTGATTTGCCTTTTTGTGACCTTTGCTGGCTAAAATCACAAGGCGGGATTTACTCAGTGCATGATAATGACTGCGAGCAATCGTTATACCGTGCACCAGGGCGCGCATAGCAATGTGCGCCCCGCGCCTCCCAAAACGACGTCGTTTTGTTAAGTTGTAAAAAAAAAAAAAAAATCCTTTGTTTCGAATGTACATAAACTCATAACAGAATACACATAAACTCATAACAAAATACACATAATCTAACATAATACATAATACACATAAACTCTTAACATAATACACATAAACTCTTAACTGAATTCACATAAATTCATAACACAATACACATAAACTTTTAATTGAATACACATAATGGGGTTTGGTTAACATAATACACAAACTCTTAACTGAATACACGTAAACTCGTAACACAATACACATAAAATTTTACTGAATACGCATAATGAGGTTTGATCTGTTTAGATGAACGGGGTGAAGTCAGCATGACGTCAGCGCGCGTTTTGTGCCTGGGCACACATTGCTATGTGCGGCGTGGTGCACGATATAATTTGCCGATTGCGAGTTTTCTTTGTCACAAAGAAAAAAAGAATGTTACTACTGAATGGGCCTAATCAAGACTGGATTAGATTATTATCATATTATAAGATATGAGGTTCTCTAAAATTGTTTGAAGTTCTTCAATGTAGTAAAACCGTAACAAAAAGAAATAGATTGGTGTTCAAATATGAAAAACTTCACTGCCCAGAGACATCTTTCACTGCAAGAGGTTCATACCATTGAGGCCCAAACCCTGCAGCCTTTCTGGCAGCTGCATTAAAAGGAGGCTTCAATGGCCCTCTGAAATGTGCCTTCACAGTATCATGAAATTTCTGAACCACTTCATCGTCATCATCATCATCCTCTGCAGCAACTTGTGACAAGAGGAGGTCATCGCCCGAATTCCGATTTCTTGACCTCAAGCATAGATACTTGAACCATTTCACCCCGGCAGCGCAGTGGGTTATCTCTTCTGGATAAACCACGGTTTCCAACAAATCAGCCGTCTCGTTATCACCTCCATTACGGAAGCGTGAGATGGTTGTTGGCATCACATCCAGTCCCCTAGCCTGTAGAGTTCAAAATAATTGAGTTCTTGTATACTATGTGCAACCAAAGATATTTAAAATAGAGCAAGATGGTATGATTGAACATTGTTAAACATAGCAAATTTGATCTTTTTTTCTATTTCTGCAGTAAACATTCCAATCTCACAATCAAGATGCTCCAAAAAGGTGAAAACCAAAATTTTTTCAAAACTATAAGGCAAGAGTAATTAGGAGCGGACCTCATGAACACAATGCTCAATGGCCAAGCGTGCCAACAAATCCTTGGAGGTAGCCATGGCGGAATCCCAGAGACCATCATGAGCAGGTAATGCTCCATAGAAAGAGCCTAGCTCCTTAAGCCGCGCAGCAAGCATGGAAAAATGCCTGCCTTCATCTTGTGCCACCTTAACAAAATCCGTGAAAAATTCTCTTGGCATGGACTCTTGCTTACCAAAACGAGCAATTATATCCTACAACACAACTTATGTATCACAAAACAAGAAACAGACAAACCATTGAAAATAGCATTCACCTCTGATAGCAACTCAAATTCATAATACTCAATTTAGATGATAACCTTACTTGACAGAATTCTCTGCTCATTAACAAAAATTAGTAACTTTGTATCACATAACAGACAAATCTCCTCGCCCCCTGGGTCCACTCAATTAACAAAATAGACTTTGCAAATCTAATGAAAAAAATTATCAAAAGAAGAAGAAGAAGAAGAAGAAGATATACCCAAGACAAGTCGATAGCCCAGCTTTCAGTGTGAACAAGACTGTGAACAATGGCCTGTCTACTCTGCAAGCTTCCAGCTTTCCCGAGCTTCGGCATCAGACTTGGTGACACCAGCTTCACCTGTTCATCATGGGCACGAAAATGATCATGCATTCAGGAAGCCCGAAAAGGCGAAAATCATTACACTATTGCAGTATTGCATTGCCATTGAGCTGATAAAAACCTGACTGATATTTTTTTTTTATTTTTTTCTGAAGAAAGAGCGTATGTGAGAAAATATGTGTGGGTGGGTGCAAATGCATATTATTCAGTGGTGCACTTCGTCGAACAGTTGGAAGGCAAAGAAGAAGACTTACATTAGTGAGCCTGGCGGGGCGGTCAGGTACAGGGAGATCTAGGGAAGGATGATATGGGCGGGAAATGAGACCTTGGAGCCACCTGTTAGCGACGTCATCGCCGAGACTGGCCTTCTCCACCGGGTCAGCCGTGTTCAGAACCCGCAACGCCGCTTCAACCAGTGTTTCCTCTCCTCCGCTCATCTCTCCCTCTCACTAGTGACTACTCTTTTCGGGAAAAGTTGGAAATTGGCGGGGGAAATTTTATTACGGACCATTTTTTCTTCAAAGCCCAAAATTTGGGGCAAATTATGCCGTGGAAACGTGCTCACCATGCTTGGTGAACACGCTTCCAAACGACGTCGTTTTTGGCGTCGTTTAAAAAAAAAAAAAAAAAAAAAAAACACTGTTCTATTAACGGCGTTAGGAAGGCAGTTATGATCAGACAACTCTTTGCGTTTGATTATTTCCTATTCGCAAATCGCTGAAGGCAATTGTGATCCGACATTCGCGATTCTTTCCTATTCGTGATGGAGGAGACGATGGTTCGAGGAGAAGATTCAACCGATATGATTTCTGCGATTCCAGGTTGCGTTTGATTTTATGCGTTTGATTTCGTTTGATTTATGAGATCATGGATTGTTGAAGATTTAGTTATTTTTATTGATATTTGTTCAGTATCTATGCAGTTTGAATGTTCATAATGGCCGTAAATGTGTATTAGTTCCATGTTTCTGTTATGAATTTTACAAAATGCAATTATGTATTTTCTGTTACAGAGTTATGAATTTTGATACTCTGTTCATGCATGTGATATGAATATTCATAATGTAATAGTAATATGTCCATAACATATTAACTGGTGTGTTACACTGCTTGCATATACTCAGTGAATGAAGATTGTGTTGGTGATTCAATAAGCAATGATCAAGCAGAGTTAAACATTGACATTGATGGCTCGTCTTCAAGTCCAGGTTCTTTTTATTAGTTGGTGTATCATGAATGTTGTTTCTTGTAGGTGTAGGTACTGATTCATGGTGATTATATGCAAATTGAATGTTGTGATTGGTATTAATAATCTGTTCACGTTATGAATTTACAGTTTGAGGTTATGAATTTTCCGTTATGTTATTATGAATTTTCCATATGAGGTTATGAATTTTATGTTATGAGGTTATGCATTTAATGCCATGAGTATCTATGCAACTTTGAATGCTCATAATGTCACAAATGTTATTGATATCCGGTTTTTGTTATGAACTTTCTTATATGATGTTATGAATTTTATTCTTTGTGATTATGAATGTTCTCACATGAGATTATGAATTCTATAGTGTAGCATATTACATTCATTATAGGTGAAATCCACATTCATAGTTTAGTAGTTGGTATAGGTGTGGTTATATTTTTGTTGCAATTGCAGTTGATGAAGACTTGGTGGGTGTTGTAGTAAGAAATGTTGACGAAGCTTTTGAGTTATATAATGGATATGCATACAGAGTTGGTTTTAGTGTGAGGAAAGGCCAACAACGTTATAAGGCATCTACTAAGTCAATTCAGATGAAGAGGTTCTTCTGTGCTAAGGCTGGGTATAAGCAGAAACCAAACAGTGGTGTTAAGCTTTATTCAAAGATTGATATGAGGACTGGATGTGGTGCATTTGTTCAGTTTGATGTGGGGGGTGATGGGATGTGGACAGTTACAAAACACTTGAAAGAGCACAATCACGAGTTATGTTCATTTGGCAAGAGTCATCTGCTTCGGTCGCATAGAAGAGTGGGAAACAATCAGCTTGAATATTTAAAAGACATGAAGAGTAGTGGTGTTGCATTGGCGGATGGTATGAGGTTTTTGAAACATCAGTCAGGGGGCTCTCCATTGGTTGGCTTTACCAACCGCGATGCTTACAATTCGATGGCTTTTGTGAGTTTGAAGTGTTTGGATGGATCGGATTCAAATTCTTTGGTTGAGATATTCAGGAGGAGGCAATCTAATGAGGCTGATTTCTTTTTTGATTTCGAAGTTGATTTGGATGGAAGATTGTGTAGTTTTTTTTGGAGGGATGGTCAAATGAGAAGGGATTATGAGGTGTTTGGTGATCTGTTAGTGCATGATACAACATACCGCACTAACAAATATGATATGATTTGTGGTCCTTTTGTAGGGATGAACCATCATTGCATGAATGTAATGTTTGGTTGTGGTTTTTTGATGAATGAGAGGATAGAGTCATTTGCGTGGTTGTTTAGAGCGTTTTTAAGATCCATGGATGGCAAGTGTCCACAGACTATCATGACGGATCAATGTTCAGCTATGGCTGCTGGCATTTCCATGGTGTTTCCTACATCACGCCACCGTCTTTGCATATGGCATATTGGTGAGAATTCGAAGAAGCATATTAAGGCATTGAGGAATCATAAGGATTTTCTGGATATGTTTAATTGTGTGTTGAAATACACCGAGACTGAAGCTGAATTTGAGGTTTACTGGACAAGGTATGTTATTATGAATTTACATTATATAATTCTGAATTTTCTGTCATGTCATTATGGATTTTCTGTTATGTCATTATGGATTTTCTGTTATGTCATTATGTATTTTCTGTTATATGATTTATGAATTTTCTAATATGAGATTATGAATTCACAGTTATACAATTCTGGATTTCCTGTTATGTCATTATGTATTTTCTGTTATGTCATTATGTATTTTCTGTTATATGATTTATGAACTTTGTAATATGAGATTATGAATTCACAGTATTCAATTATGTATTTTCTGTTATGTCATTATGTATTTTCTGTTACATGATTATGAACTTTGTAATATGAGATTATGAATTTTCAGAATATGAGTAATAAACATGTGTTTTAACCTTTTCAGGATGGTTACAAAATATAATTGTCATAAGAATACATGGCTGGAGAAGCTTTATGACTGTAGGGAGAAGTGGTGTCCAGCGTTCAACAAGGATTATTTCTCCGGGGGTATTTTATCTTCGCAAAGGAGTGAAAGCACAAATCATGCAATTTCTAGGAGGCTGTCCAAGACTGCTGGTTTATGTGATTTTTATTCATCATTTGTGAGTGTTATATCTGAATGGAGAAGTAAGGAAAATGGCGAGGATTTCCGGTGTTCTCAAGGAGTACCCGCCATGATGTTGGATCATGTGAAACTCCTTTCACATGCTAGAGAGGTTTATACAATTGAGATATATTTTTTGTTCGAGGAACAATTTATGAAAGGTAGCTCTTGTTATCAAGAAATGGTGTTGAACGATGGTTGTATGTGCAAGTATCACGTGTGGCGACCAGACATAGATATCATAAGGCATGAAGTAACCTTTAAGGCAATCAATTTGGATATATGTTGTAGTTGCAAGCTGTTTTCAGAATTGGGAATACTTTGCTGCCACTGCTTACGTATACTTCATGTGCACTGTGTTTCCAGTATTCCCGATAAATACATTCTAAAAAGATGGACTAAAAAGGCTGTTGAGCGTACAAACGTGGACATTGCATCTGTGTTTTATAATGGTGGTGTCCCTTCTTCAATTTGGGCTGTTGAGATTAGTAGGAAATTTCAAAGGCTTATTGTTTCTAGCCAAGATAACAGTGTTGCTAGACAATTATGTGATGAAGCCGTTGAGAATGCAAGGAAAAACATTGAAGCTGAGATTGGGGATGTGAACACTGAGGAGGGTGCTGTGTCTTCGTCAAGTGGTATTGTCCAAGACCCCTCAAGCCGGAGGGGTAAAGGTGTGAGAAATAAAAGGAGTAGTAGTGTTATTGAGAAGAAGTACAATGCAGCAAGGGGAAGAAAGAGCGCTGCAAACAAGCTTGCTTCAATTACAAAGGGCTCTGTCCAATCATTGGTCTTGGAAAATATTTCAGAGATTGCTCGTGATGGATATCTTGTACATCCAAGCACCGGGGGTTCACAATTTGTTCATTTTAATAAGAATGTAGACCACGATGTAGCTATAGACTGAGATCATGTTAACAGTATGTACTTATGAATTTTATGATTTTTAGATATAGGTTGAGAATTATGTGTCAGATTATGAATTTTCCTTTGCCAGTTTATGAACTTTCATTTACCAGTTTATGAACTTTCCTTTACCAGTTTATGAATTTTCCTCTATGTGATTATAAATTTTCCTCTGTCTCAGATTATGAATCTTCCTTTATCTGATTATGAATTTTCCTTTATGTGATTATGAATTTTCCTATATGTGATTATGAATTTAGAGTATGTGCTTATGTATTTTATGCTATTCAGATTTTATGAGAATTATGTGCCAGATTATGAATTTTCCGTTGCCAGTTTATGAACTTTCATTTACCAGTTTATGAACTTTCCCTTACCAGTTTATGAATTTTCCTCTATGTGATTATGAATTTTCCTCTATGTCTCAGATTATGAATCTTCCTTTATCTGATTATGAATCTTCCTTTATGTGATTATGAATTTTCCTATATGTGATTATGAATTTAGAGTATGTGCTTATGTATTTTATGCTATTCAGATTTTATGAGAATTATGTGTCAGATTATGAATTTTCCTTTTGCCAGTTTATGAACTTTCATTTACCAGCAATAGATTGTGTATTCATAGGTGCAAAATATCTGTGCACATTACAAAATATCAACAGTCAAGATTTGCTTCATGTTCACAACATATTCAAACACCAAAAAGCGGTATAGTTTCACTTCTTCTTTGAGAGATCCTTGGCTGCCTTCATAACTCGCAATCTTTCAGTGTTCCTACCCCATGTGATAATGTTTGATGCGTATTTAGCTCTAAGCTCCCAAATGAAGTCAGCCTTCAAAAAAAAAATAAAAAGATGTTAAAAAACAAAACAAAAAAAAAAAGAAGCAAATCTAAGTTGAAATTAATATATCTTATACTCTTACGTTTACATGGGTGCCTATCTTGAATCCACTGTCCCAATCTTGAACATTCCCCTTGTAGGACTCCATGTGTCGCATGACATATATGGCACAATCAATGACATTGTCAAGCTCCTTCCAAGGAATGGCCAAGTATGATACAGGAAGGTTTTGTATCTTACGGAGTAGGGGGGATTTTTCTGCAGTCAAGTACTCTTTCAAAGCATTCATCTGGACAAAAATGAAACTAGTGTGATTATGATTCACATGAAATGTATAACAAACGTTTGAAAGGTCAAGTTTAAGGTTAAGTTACCAGTAGATTTGGGCAATCTTCATACTTGTCAGCTTCAGTAACACCTTTCGGCAACATCTTGTTGTCAATGATTTCAACACTTTTTGAGATGGTGTTGATGCAGACAACAAAGTAGTGTTCGTGTCGAAGCACGGGGAAAAATAGCTAACATCAAAAGAAGTAGTTAGAATAGAGAAGAAATATGTAATTAATGAATAAATGTTGAAGGTGGGTAATTATAAATTACCAAATCAGCATCATTGACATCAAGATTTTCAAATTTTGAAATCTCATACTGTAATCGCTCATTGAAATTATCCTTCCGCTTTTGAAGCGGAAGATTCTTCATCCACTGTTCAGATGGGTCGAGTTGAAGCTAAGGGGAAAAAAATACGTATCAATGATAAGTTGTGCAATATGTAATGGCAGTCATACGTAATTCATGATATCATAACATAAAATCCATAATATTACAAAGAAAATACATAACAACAAAACAGAAAATTCATAATATCAAAGTTGTAATTTCATAACTCACAATAGAAAATTCATAATGCCATATGGGAAAATTCATAATCTCACATTAGAAAGTTCATAATATCAAAAATGTAACTTCATAAACTCACAATAGAAAATTCATAATATGATATGAGAAAATTCATAATCACACACAGAAAATACTTAAAATCCATAATATTACAAAGAAAATACATAACCACAGAACTGAAAATTCATAATATCAAAGTTGTAATTTCATAACTCACAAATAGAAAATTCATAATGCCATATGGGAAAATTCATAATTTCACACAGAAAATACATAATCTCACATCAGAAAGTTCATAATATCAAAAATGTATCTTTATAAACTCACAATAGAAAATTCATAATCACAAATATAAAATACATATTTACATGACATAAAATACAGAATGGTTTAACAGGAGATTCAAAAGTGAGCAGAGTAAAAATTGTTGTTATTAACTTACATGTACCAACGTGCTAAAATAGATGCACTTTGGCTTCCCCAACGCCCGTTTTGTGTTGAGGAGTGTAAGCCTCAACGCCCATACATCTATGAATGTGTTAAAAATTTCACCGCTTCGGAGGGTGTGGAAATCTCCTCTTGTCATTGAGAAATCATCAAAGATAAACAGAGTTTCACTACATGAACAAAAAATTTTGATAAATAGGTAAATAAATTAATGAGTAAAAGACATTTTTGGTCCTAGACTTATAGTGGCACGGACAATTTTAGTCCTTTTTAAAAAAATCAGACAATTTGTGGACACTCTTATTATGACGAGGACAATTTTGGTCCTCCGTCTAAATTTCTGTTAGATGGCCCGTTAGATAGGGGGTACATTCGTCTTTTCAGCTTACGTCCTCCATTTTAATACGGCAATGTGGTTCTGTTCTTCATTCGAGATTGACGAGCGAAGAGGCAGATTGAAGAAGCAATCCTGGTGAATGGTGAATGGATTTCGATTCAAGTTTGTGAATGTGGGCAAGAAAATTGCTAACCAATATATAAATTAGCAAATACATACCAAAATCTGCACACCCAAAATCTTAAAACATCAATCAATATCAACACAGCTGAATTATGGGACTGCCAATGTATGCTTTTCCATCTGTATGGCAAGGGAGAGGGTACAAATATCAGAGACATACAATCTCAACATATATAAATACCAATTCACTTGCAATATTTATCCTGCAGAACAAAACATAAAGAAGCATGTAATGGGCGCATTCTTGGACAAAACCTTGATTGCTTGCAGTCTCTATGCCTGATCTGCAACCTCACCTAGCGTGTTCATCTCTGGTTAATCATTGTCAGTAGCAGAAAATGCCCAAAGAATGCAACCATTCAGTGTTGTGTCCATTCGATACTCTTAATGTCAATACCCTCCTTAACCATCTCATAAAGGGGGCTCATTTCCCTCAATTTCTCGACTTGGTGCACAGTAAGCCCCACCGCTCTATCAATCTCGATTGGAATCTTCCCTAAAGCTTGGGCCGCATCGGTATGGAAAGGCACATTGAATTCTTTGCAAATTTTTCCGATTTCCTCAACGGGTTGAATAACCCCAATCTCATTATTCACCATCATGACCGAAACCAGGCCTGTGTCGGGCCGAATCGCCGCCCTGAGCTTGTCTAGGTTAATAAGCCCGTCGGGTTCAACGGGAAGGTAAGTAACATCGAAGCCCTCTTGCTGCAGATGACGGAAGTGAAGATAATCTCCTTCGGAGAAGGGTTAATTAGGGTCGCAACTTGCGCCCGGGCGGTCTCGACGGCCTGGTCCGATTCCCAGCCGTAGAGGTGAGTCCGAGAGTGAGGGTTCCCGAATCGCGAGAGATAATAAGGGAGCATGGCGTCAAGCACACGCGGATCCACCGGAGAAGTGACCTGCATATCCAGGTAGAGAGGTCTTCCGGAGATCTTCACTCCTTTCATGGTGACTCCAGCTGTTTCTTCCTCATAGGGCTCTACTCCCGCCGCCGCAGCAGCAGAGGTCGAAAAAGGACGGAGAATGGCGTAGGGTTTATCAAACGAGCGGCGGAAAACGGCGGCTAGAAGCTTCGAGGCCATCGTTATGAATCAAACAATTATGCTCCGACGAAGAATTGACTCTTACGCTCCGGGAATAAAAAGGGAATAAAAAGGGAAAGAATGAAGGACACTTGATAAGACGAAATTACCCCCTATTTAACATGCCATCTAACGGAAATTTAGACGGAGGACCAAAATTGTCCTCGTCATAATAAGAGTGTCCACAAATTGTCTGATTTTTTTAAAAAGGACTAAAATTGTCCGTGCCACTATAAGTCTAGGACCAAAAATGTCTTTTACTCTAAATTAATATATGGTTGTAAATGTGAAATATAAATGAAAATAAAAAGTTTTCTAAATGGTTAGAGTCAAACATACTCCACTGGATGATCTGTAGAAACATCCATGAAGGCGTAGTTTGATACGGCCCTCTCGGTCACACTGGCATTATCGACAAATGGCACATTCTTTGTCCAAAAAGGTGATCTCAAGTTTAACGGGATGTTTTTGTATTTCCGGACTGGTCTCTTTTGCCTGGTGACATCCTCGACATCAGATTCACTGTCCAGAAATGCACTGTAAACACACGAAGATAGTTAATATCATCATAGTTGCACAATTTCAGGTTAGAAAGTTCATAACTGCAGTACATAAAATTCATAAATACAGAACAGAAAATACATAACTGCATATCAGAAAGTTAATAATATCAAAAATGTAATTTAATACTCATAATAGAAAACTCATAATCTCATATGTGAAAATTAATAATATTTCAGAAGAAAAGTCATAATATAATATCAGAAAGTTCATAACACAATTTCATATTCTAATTAGTTTACCTATCAATATCGTCGAGGGTAGCAGGTAGTGTAGCAGCAGGCGTAGAAGTATTAGCAGCATCAGGGACATCTCTGGCGAATGGAACCTTGATCAATGGAGTTATTTCTCGTCTTTCAGAACTTGATGTAGCAGGGGTAGCAGCATATGCTTCAGAAGATGAAGCAGTAGGGGTAGCAGCAGTGGTAGGAACATGCGTAGGAGCAGGGAAAGCAGCAGGGGAAGAAACAGCCGTAGCACCAAGCGTATCAGTAGGGGTTGTAGCAGGGATAGCGGTAGGAGTAGTAGAGAGTGTAGCAGCATCAGCAGCACCGGGAGTGTCTTTCACAATGTTCTCAACAAGGGCATCCAATTCATCTTCATCCATTGCACTTTGCTCACGTGGTTCATCAACCAATGGTGCCGGGGTATAAGAGATCCCTAAATCAAATGAGGGAGGGTCAATCTCCATTTGCCGATTGGTCTTATGGAAGGCTTCAACCAAGGCATCAACAGCCTTTGTGAAAGACTCTTGGCCAAAGAAGATGTCGTCTAGTTGAGAGGAGGTTGGAGTTGGTGGTCTTTCTATTGTGCTTGCAACGCCAATCATGGTGGAAATTCCAGAAAATGCGGCCTTCATAACATCCACCGGTGCGTTTTGTCTGCCAACTTCAGCCATAGCCTCACCGAATTCCAAGACATCAGCAGCAAGGCGTTGTAGAACCCGCGTGACCCTATCAACACTAGACGGCGGCACAGAGATGGTTGGGACTGGTTGGGCGGAAGTAGAAGCGATACAATCAGCAGTAGGCTTTGCAATACGAGGGATAACTTTCCCTTTACCATATCCGCCCGACCTTTTCTCAGCGGAAACCCTTTGCCGTGCAAGTTTACTTGTCCATGCAGTAATGCTTGGATATGTTCTTTGAATGCTCATTCCTTTGAATTGGACCCGATCAAAGTAGAATAGCTACAATGTTGAACAAAAAGGTAAAATAAAAAAGTTATAATCACAGAATTCATAATTACACTACAGAAAATTCATAATATCATAATAGAAAATTCATAATCCATATGAACATTATATTCAACTATCATATTATGGATTTTATGTTATGCAATTATGAACTTTCTATTATGAGATTCATTATTGCATAATACTATAAGAACATTCATAATGATAACAAGGAAAATTCATAATTACATAAAGGAACATTCATAATCAAATAAAGGAAAATTCATAACCTGACAAATACAATTCTCACAAAATGTAAATAGCATAAAATTCATAAGTACATACTGTAAATTCATAATCACATAAAGGAAAATTCATAATATGACACATATAATTCTCATAAAATCTAAACAGCATAAGAGTCATAAGTACATACTCTAAATTCATAATCACATATAGGAAAATTCATAATCACATAAAGGAAAATTCATAATCAGATAAAGGAAGATTCATAATCTGAGACATAGAGGAAAATTCATAATCACATAGAGGAAAATTCATAAACTGGTAAAGGAAAGTTCATAAACTGGTAAATGAAAGTTCATAAACTGGCAAAGGAAAATTCATAATCTGACACATAATTCTCATAAAATCTGAATAGCATAAAATACATAAGCACATACTCTAAATTCATAATCACATATAGGAAAATTCATAATCACATAAAGGAAGATTCATAATCAGATAAAGGAAGATTCATAATCTGAGACATAGAGGAAAATTCATAATCACATAGAGGAAAGTTCATAAACTGGTAAATGAAAGTTCATAATCTGGCAAAGGAAAATTCATAATCTGACACATAATTCTCATAAAATCTGAATAGCATAAAATACATAAGCACATACTCTAAATTCATAATCACATATAGGAAAACTCATAATCACATAAAGGAAAATTCATAATCAGATAAAGGAAGATTCATAATCTGAGACATAGAGGAAAGTTCATAATCACATAGAGAAAAATTCATAATCACATAGAGGAAAATTCATAATCTAACACATATAATCTACAATCTGAATATCATAAGATTCATAAGTGGAGCTAGAGCTTACCAATATGAATGCCATTGGTCCAGTAAAGAAGCTATTACTTTTCTTCCTGTACTGCTCGATGGACTTGATCAGAGAGTTGTAGGTGTAGCCACACCAGTTGTACTCCTTTATCTCGTCAACATTAATCAAGGAGTTGAGGATTCTATTGTTGCAGTAGCGGTTCTGAAATCCCCTCATCATGCATGAAACAGTCAAGACCATGAAGTCTCTCTTAAAGTCATCTCCAGAATCTCCCCTCTGAACTATGACATCTCCCATCTGGGTAGTGACTGGGGAACCAAGCTTAATATTCCACCGTTCCCTCCAGCTTTTCAAGAGAGCCCTGTATTCTGGTGTCCCCTGTTCATCATATTTTGGGGCCTCAACAACCTTCTTTTCTCCTCTTGGAATGCCAAGAGTGTACTCAACGTCCTCTTCATCAACTGTGAGCTTGTCGTTCTCCAGCTTGAAATGTGTTTGGAAAACCTCAAAGTTGGCTATCAAATACTGAACTAATTGTGACTCATTTGCGCACAATTGAAGGTCCAACAGGGCTCCAAATCCAATATCACGGACAGCTTGTTTTTGTTCTGGCAGTAGTTGTTGTACAAGCCTAAACATGGTCTTTGGTCCCATCCGTGTGCTGAAGTAGGGAGTAGAACTCCCCTCTGCACAATCACCTCCAATGTCTGTGTTGCCCCTATGTCTGTCATTTATTTGCTTTGACCTCTTTTCTCTAATAACTTCTTGCTCGAGCAGGTCATCAGAGTGCTGCTGGGATGGTTGAGCAGCCTGTGAGTCAAGTACAACCCGTGTTGTTCGTTTTCTCTTGCTTTTTGTTGTAGGGGTGACTGCAGTGTTGTGTTCAGCCGCCGTCTGTGAGGGTTGTGATGGTTCTGCAGCTTGAGAGCTCAAGACTGCCTTTGTTTGTGAGCGTGTTGTCCTTCGTTGAGCAGTGTCCATTGCTTTTATTAAAAACGTTAGAAAGCAAGTAACTCATATACAACATATAATATAGATTGATGGAAGGAAAATATATTCCTTATTTCAGTAGAGGGGGGATGGGGAGTGCCGAATAAATCCAGCCATGCTCTACCGAAAAGAATATAATGTCCTTCAATAACAGTTACACATAATTGGTAATATAGTAACATAAAATTCATAATTTCACAAAGAAAATTCATAATACCAGAACAGAAAATTCATAACCTTAGAACAGAAAGTTCATAACTGCAATATAGATCAGAATCCATAATCTCATATGAGAAAATCCATAATTCCATATTGTCCATCAATAACAGTCACATATAATTGATAGTATAGTAACATACAATTCATAATATCTCACAAAGAAAATTCATAACCTCAGGACAGAAAATTCATAACTCCAAAACAGAAAGTTCATAACTGCAACATAGAAAATTCATAACTACAGAACATAAAATTGACAACTCACAATACAGAATTCATACTCTCATACGAGAAAATTCATAATCTCTAACAGAAAATACATAACCACATATAAGAAAGTTCATAACAGCAAAAATGTAATTTCATAGGCACAATAGAAAATTCATAATCTCACACAGAAAATACATATTTGCATGACATAAAATACATAAGTGAATGGACGTTATGGACATTCAAAGCTTGCATAGAAAGTGAATAAACAGCAGTAAAAACCATATACGAATCAATTCATAATGGTTAATCTACACGTATATAATGCTACAGATATACATTCATAAGCTCATAACATTACATTCAAAACCCCATTTCAAAATTTCGAAATATGTACACAGAATACAAATACCCTAAATCATAAACATGAAAATACCTGTAATACAAGTGAAGGAACGTTGAGAATGAGCAATGGAGAGGCTGTATCCTTTGATAGCTACGTGAGAACGTCAAATTTTGTTTTACAAATGCGAGAACGAGGAATCCGAGAGCAGAGGTGAATGGCTGTGGAGCAGAGTGTTTGAGAGTGATCGAAGGAAATGGCTGGGGAAGATGAAGCGATAGAAGAGAGCTCGAGAGTGGTGTTCCAGAGAGCAGAGCGATGGAGGTTGCTTGGAGAGGAAGTGAAATGGCGTAGTGGAGAAGCGGAAATGCTATGGCGCGTTTAATTTTAAAAAAAAAAAAAATGTGAGTGGTGGGAGTTAACGGTGCCACTTACGGGCACCGTTAGTCCCACTCACTCTAAACGGTGTCGTATGGAACCGTGTTCACCAACCATGGTGAACACGGTTCCATGGCATAACATCTCAAAATTTGGCCACCGGGCCGTTTCTTTTAATTGGGAAAACTAATTATGCACACCTGGTGGGACTTGAACCCACAATCGTTTGATTAGAAGTCAAACGCCTTATCCATTAGGCCACAGGTGCTGCACATTATTATTACTATTACACGCACTAATATCTAGCGTACTATCGGTGGCGACGGCGGCTCATAGACAGATAATTTTGTGGACCTGAATCCAAAAATTAACAATTTACATCCTGAATGTTTATCATTTTATATATTAAATGTTCACAATTTACATATTAAATGTTCACATTTACTTATTTAATATTCACAATTTGAATTGTGAACATTTAATATGTAAATTGTGACATTCAGTATAAATTATATATTTTAACTCAAGTCCACCTCGCAATGTAGATCTAAATCCATGGCATAACTATTGCCGCTCACACTCGACCAACCAGGGAAAAAAAATGAACAATGGACCTAAACAATATTTTTATATTATCTAAAGTTTTTTTAGAGTTACTTTTGAATTTAGTCTTCTGATTATTATTTATTTTTAGTTTTAGTCATTAACTTTATTTTTTAAAATAATTATAATTCTTTACAAGGTAGTATCAGTTTTATACTTTTTTCAATCATTTTTAAGTTTTTACACCGAAATTCAATCATGTGATCATTCATTTGGAATAACAGAGGTATCATCAAACTACATATAGTAGTTGATAGTCATCAACTTTTAAACTATCAAATTTAGTCTATTGTTCATTTCCAATTGTAATCCATTGTTGGCTTTTTCTTTTGTGAAGTGTTAACAGAAGAAAACCAACAACGAGGATCAGTATGCAAACGAGCAGCTCTAGCTAAAGCGTGAACGAACTTATTCACTGATCTAACCATCTAGGTATAAATTGAATAGACATTAATTACTTCAAAGTATCGTTTAAATTCTGGACATTCACTTATAATACGACCTGCGAAAGAAAGATCTGGCAATGAACCTTTTAGCAAGTTGCAAACCGTCTGACAATCAGAGTTAACCACAAAATTACGAAGACCTCTCTCCTTTGCCCACGACAAGGCTTCCTTGATAGTAATTCCCTCCGCTAAGTGTACATCATTCAAACATCGAATTGGGCCACTTTTAACTGCTACATACTCACCGTTATTATCCATAATAACCACATCAAAACTTGCCTGGCCTGAGTCTGGGAACACTGCTGCATCTACATAAACTTAGAACAAATCAACTGGAATGTTCAATGCTATTGACAAAGGAACACCATGCATACTGCCGCTAAAAGATGCCGTAAACTCCTCCTGCCAAACATTGAGAAAGGTTAACTCTGATTCCAGCAACAACATTATGTTATTCATTTTAAACTTTTCAGTTATGAAATTCTGGAAGTGTAGTTATGCAATTCTGGAAGTGTAGTTATGAAGTTATGGATGTGTAGTTATGCAATTATGAAATTATAGTTATGCAATTCTGGAAGTGTAGTTATACAATTCTGGATGTGTAGTTATGCAATTCTGAAACTGTAGTTATGCAATTCTGAAAGTATAGTTATGAAATTATGAATGTATAGTTATGAAATTCTGATTTTTTTTTTTTTAAGTTAGACACCAAAACGACGTCGTTTTTGCATGGTGCATACGGATGGACAGCATAACGCTCCCTAAAAGCATAGTGTCTCTTGCCGGGTGCTGGAAGGATCCGGTCCGGATCCGAATCCATAATCCATATCCGTATCTTCCAGCAAATTCCATTTTCGTTCTTAAAATACCGTACCGCACTCTCACTCTATACGTCTCTCTTTCTCTCTATCTAGTAATCCCCGCCGTGCTTCATCAAAACTGTAAAACTGCAAGGCACAGAAACAATGGCGGAACTCGAAACGGCCGCCGCCGTTAACGGAGGCTCGACGCCGAACATAGACGAGCAGCAAAACAAGCCTACAAACCCGCTCCTCGCTCTGCTCTCGGCCTTCCTTCAGCTTTTCAAACCGCCATCGCCCAAGCCCGCTGCTCCAGAGGAGGCTCAGCCGCTCAATCCGGAACCTCGAGTAGCCAAGGAAGAAGAGAAGCCGTCTGTGGTGAAGTTTCCTAGGCAGGAATTGCCCTCTTTGAAGCTCGAAGCACAAGGACCTGAGGCCGATACTAACCCCGTCGTCCTATGGCAGGTACTGTAAATCTGTAATCCGATTTTATTTTATAGAATTTTTTTTTGGTTCTCTCCTCATTCTCTACCTGCATCTGATTTATATAGTTTTTTTTGCTTGGAGAATGTTGTGGTAATTCTGAATTCGCGTTTTGTCTAATCCACTTGAGATTATAACACTGGGAAGCAGAACTAATGCTATAGAATACACGATTGTTGTTCAAATTTGCAGTAATGCTTGTTGGATTGAATGTGAACTTACAGTTATTGGAGAAATGTTGGAAACTTGGAATTCTGAATTGTGGTTTGAAATGATATTATTATTGTTTGTAAAATGGTAAAACCCTAGATATAATTTTTCTATGGTATCATGAATGGAAGATGCCTTTGCTGGAGTGCCCTGGCAGACTTGTAGGCAATACTTGGATTTAGCTGTTCTCTCCAATTCTAAAAGAAGGTTAATCCTTGCAATGAAACCATTTAAGTTGCAGCATAGTACTATCCTCCTTCCTGCATCACCTAAATGATCAAGCCATATTCGCAATTGGAAAAACACTGTTTTGTTTGAGAGGAGTTTGGACACATACCAATCAGAAGTTTCACCAATTCCCCCTGAACTTTTTGCTGGTTAGCTTGATTCTGATGAACAGTTTGTGATGAAGGTGCCCGCATGGGCTTTAGCTCAGGTTCAGTAGGCAGTATTTGAATTTGAGAAAAGAGAGACCAAGGTTCAAACCTTGACAGAAGCAGTGTGGGGATTATGCTACTGGTATTTGGCCATGCCTACTGTCCCAGTGAGTCACCGTGATTTACATCCTCCCAAATACGGGGATTCATCCTTTTGGGAGAAGTTTGTGATGAAGGTATTTTTTTCAACAACCATTTTGTTTTCTTTTACTAATTACATGTGTATGTTTCAGGTTTATGCCATTGGTGGGTACTTCATTTTGAGATGGGCATGGACTAGATGGAATGAACGCAGGGGAAAAAAGGCGCCATCCAATGAAGAAGAACCACCTCCACCCAATGATGAGTAGTCTTGTAGGTTGCCTTGCCCATTTCTTCATGGAACGGGTGAGACTTTATGATGTGCTAGGGTTGTTTGCCTATACGGTATAAATACTTAAATATTCAAAGAGTGGATCACAAAACATCATTTGTCTAGTTATTATTATTGTTATATATGTGTTAGATTCTCGAGTTCTCCTCCATTCTTATTTTTGCACACAAAAGGCAAAAAATTCCTTCACTCCTACGCCCTAGAGAAGGGTAAATTACACTAACGACTCATTATATGAGAAGCCCAGTGTCTAACGTTAACAAGAAGCTCACCACATACAATGTGACTTTCCTTGTTTACAATTTACTACTTTTTCTGTCTCATTTTATTTGTCGGTTCAGTTAATGAGACTTGACAAGTTATTTATAATTTAATTTTTGAAAAATAAGGGTCAAATTGATCACTGAACGTAACGCGAAAGTGCAATCAGGCTCCCTGAACCTAAAAAAAGTTCAATTACATTACATAACAGCGCAATCCCTCCAATTTCACCTATTAGTCAGTTCCAACCCTTCTGTTTGGTTGCCTACCTGACTGGACGATTACATAGCATTACTAATTTTATTTCTTTAATTTTTGTTGCTTTCCAACTTGTTTTTCCCCAAATTTTCTTCTTCCATTTCTCTTCTTTCTCCCAGATTACTTCTATCCAACAACCCCAACATTAATTAGAACATGAACATGATGGAACAACCTCTGCAACTCCCAGATTACTTTTATCCAACAACCCCAACATTTTATTCAAAAAAAAAAAAAAGAACCCCAACATTAATCCCTCTCACCTTCAAAACCCCTTCCCACTCTCTCTCCTACTTTTATTCAACAACCACAACATTAATCCCTCTCACCTCCAAAACCCCTTCCCACTCTCTCTCTTTCTCCAACCTCGACGATCAGAACTGGCTTCTAGCAATAACCTCGAAGATAAAATACAATCCCAGTGTCTCGCAAAACCCCAAACCCCTTCTTGCTCCCTCTGCCCGCTCCCCGGCGGCGCTCTCAAGCCTACCACCGACAAAAGATGAGCTCACCTTCTATGCGATCTCTTTATTCCCGAGGTGTTCTTCAACGACCCAGAAGGCCAGGAAGGGATCGGCTGCACCAAGTGCCCAACACAAGATCAGACTGCAACTGTTATCTCTGCAATTCAACAAATGGGTGCGCCATTGATTGCTCTGAGCACAAATGCCCCTTGGCCTTTCATGCCACCACCTGCCTCACCGCCAAGCTCAACCTAACTCTCTCCGCCAAAACCCCTAACAAGAAATTGATATACACACGACCCCATCTCCCTCACCGCCTTCGCCTCTCAAGTAACCCTAGCCAACGGTTGCTTCCCGAGTTTCCCCAGCGACCCGAATAACATCACAACAATCCACTCAAAGAAAATTGAAGAAGAAGAAGAAGAAATCGAAAAATCAAAGAGCAAGAAGAGAAAGAAGATAAATCGAAGAAAATTTGTTTCTTACACGCTGGAAACGCATCACAATAATCCACTCAATCTTCTCACTCACCTCCCAAGTTCTCGACGCCGATTCCGTCTCTAAACTCAATTCAGATATGAAGAGAAGACGCCGATTACCCATCAAGATCATCATGGACAGCATGGTTGTGCCTTGAGAAATTGAAGAGAAAGAATAGAAATCGAAGAAGAAAATTTGGAGAAAAACACGCTGGAAATGCCTGGAAGCAACAAAAATTAAAGAAAATAAAGAAATAAAAATAGTAATGCCATGTAATCATCTACGTCAGCTAGGCAACCGAAAAGAAGGGCTGGAACTGACTAATAGGTGAAATTGGAGGGATTTACGCTGTTAAGTGGTATAATTGAACGTTTTTTTAAGTCCAGTGGCCTAATTACTTTCGTGTTACGTTTAGTGGCCAATTTGGCCCTTATTCTAATTTTTAATAATATTAAGTTTAAAATTAATATATAAAATTTAGATATTTAGAAACTACATTAAAAGTACTATTAAACACAAAAAATTAAATTAAAAAATTATAAAAAAAAATGTTAATAGAAATAAGTAAAGAAGAACGAGTTAGTTTGACTAATGAATAATAAGTATGACAGATAAAATGGAACAGAAGGAGTATTAGGAACCAACTGAGCTACCAGGACCTCATGGATATAGATGACATCAGGTGAAAATTATTTTAAATACTAGAATTGCTTATTAGGAAATGGAGAACTTAAGGATAAAAAATGTTAGTATCTTTATCCTTATCTACAGAAATGTATGAAGAAAAATATGTAACCCAAACTATGTCGACAAGAAAAATGGTGTATTACTAATAGGAATGGCAGAGAACTAAAATGCCATTTTACCTCCTTCAGTCGTTAGCGTCTTGGGGGTGGTGAGGCTCCACAATGTCCAAAACTCAGAAGACCTAAATCGCTTCTGTATTTACAGTCCCTCGTTACTTGATAGTTGATACCATCCATCTCCTCTCAAAATCTCATCCTGCAGAAATGCTCATCTCAGCATAACATGGCTGAATGATAATGTCAATGAAACACTTATGGCTCCTGCGTCAATATCTGATTCTATTGCGATTCAAAATAACTATCGTATATAGAAAGCCGGTCAAATGCTTCAAAATTTGCTTTTAATCCAACGAATTGGCTCCCGAACCGGGTACAACCAGCATTAGGCCACCTACAGCCTCCTTCCCTTGTGCGCATAGGGCATAAAGATTCACATACTTGGGCGAATCGACTGTCGGGAGGGTCATCTGGCATGATGGTAACTGACCTGGAATGATCCGAGTTATCATCAAGCTGGAAAGAACCATCTTTTTCGTGTCTTGAAGATGTGTAAAGAGAGTTTTGAGGAATTTCTGTTGCGTTGCTCTCGATACCAACACTGCAGTCACCATCTGCTGAGATGTAAACTTTACAGCCTAGTGATTGCACTGCCCGCTTTATAGCTACACACTCCCTGTTGGCTCTCTTTGCCGAATCCCTAGCAGAGCTACTCACATGTTTCTCACTCTGCAACTCTACACTCAAAGATTTCATCTCCGCACTCATTTCTTTCATTCTAGCTTCTGCGGCTTCTTTTGCCTGTGGAACATCAGAACTTTCACACAATCACAAAATAGAAAAAGACAGACTTGACTACCGCCCGCTAGATCAGAACTTAAAAACTTTTGTAAGATAATCTGTATTTGTCATTCTCCAAATCCAATCATCTAAACAACTATACAAGAGTTTACCTTCTGCATCTCAGAGAATCTCTTAGTCAGGCTCCTACACTGTGCTTCGACCTCACCTACTTGAGCCTCTGATGGGCAGGCCCATCGAAGATGAAACTGAGGCCAAACTGTGGGAGCTAAAGCTGCAGCTGGCGGTAGTAGTGCCCCTCCATGTTTTAAAGGATCGTAGAAAATGTTGTAATGTACATGCAAACTTCCTTCTGAAGCCCGTAAATCAGCCAAATACATCCATAGGCATCCACAAGCATCAGAAATACTCGCCTGTTGCCTTTCCTTCTCACTGAATTGATAAAAAGAAGGAACCAGAAAACCGTAGTAAGGATTCTGCATTTCCTCTAGAAACTATATCAGGGAGTGGGTATCTATTATTCTATTTTGAGCATCACTATACTCTAGATGTTGAGTAGTGGTTAATTTAGCAGAAGACAAAGAAATACTACAAAAAAATAACTCAATCAGAAGAAAAATGACAAATGAACTTTTATTAGAAGGTAGTTTACAGCATAAAATTGAAACAATTCATCCTGCCTCCATTCTCAGAGCATAATGAAGGTTGGATATACTTCAAGCAAGAAATAATGGGCAGACTATCAGTCTATCAAGCATTTATTCCGAACTGTTCAATTATCCATTTACATTATCACCACCAAATCATATCTGAACATTAGGACATGAAAGCTGATGTGAGATTTTAGTTCACCAAACCAAGGAATCCACCCTATGGATTCATAATTGGAATTTACACCATTTAGTGTACAGTCAATTTATTCATATTCTTCAAGTTTTAATAATAATTATAATAAAATAAGTGCACAGGACTTGCTGTAGATCCATAGTCTAGTGAAGGTAGATGGAAGCAACTTTACCTATGCTTCAAAGAGATACTAACTATAAACACCCCAACCTTGCAATTCACATTCTTTTAGATATTGCAACAATAACTCTTACAGGTCATTACACTCGATACCCTTACTGTGTGTCTGAGCATCATCTTATAAAAAGAGAAATAATAAATGGGCAGAGCGGAATAGCCTACAAACCGAAAACCATTAACAAAGGAAAGGGTAGACCATCTCTGGATAATGCATGATCTTCAAAAAGATATTCATGTTGAAAAGAAACTGAAGTATATTATAAAATTGATAAGAGATTTACCTATTGCACAAGAAGTTTCCAAAGCGACAAGAAAGCATGCAATCCAAGACTTCTACCAAAAATGCCTGAATTGTTGAGAATATAACAGTCAGTAAGATAGCCATTTGTCAATGTAGAATAACTGTGTTTATTTAACTATGCATTTTATGAAAAGACACACCGAGGAGAACTCAAAGGCACAAGGATACATCCGCAAAAGCTGTGAAACACAATCAACCCACTGCAAACAAATTAAAAGGTGTATCAGGATGAAGATTCAAAAGAGGGAAAAAGTAAAAGGCAATCTGTGATGGATCACAGTAACACAAGCTCACACAACATACAATTGTATCTAACTTGTATATTTACCTGCCTACAATAATCCTGTTTTAATTTAGGTCAATTCTCATTTGCAGATCAAATTGTTACTAACTTACTATTAATTATGATCATGATGTTATTTTGAATATAAAAAAAAAATAGTTAATCTAAAAGTCACATTTTTTAAAAAGTCCATCTTTCTGTTAGTTAAATTTCAGGTAGGGTTTCAAATCCGATATACTAGAATTTTGTACTGTTAGAATGATGCACATCCAACCTGTTGTAGTTGATTGTATGCTGTGGGCCACAATGATCAGCATTAATAGTGATACATAGAATTAAGATGAATAAATGTGGATAGTGACAATGGTAGACAAGTGAAGATGTTAGATGAGTAATGATAACAATTGGGTTAGTAAGCGGAGGTGGGTGGATAATTGTTATAGGGTGGCATACATAGAAGTGGTGGGTGGAAGTATCCATTTACTGCAGAAAATTTGAAAAACATCTTTTTAGAGCGCCTATCTAGTAAAAAAAATTATCCAGAAAACCAAAATTGAAAATAAAGTTCTATTCAAAATGGTTGTGATTTCTAAATTCCTTCATTAAGTTGGAAAATGGTGTTCACCAATTTTCTGGAAAACTGACCGAACTGGCAGGCATTTGTACATTCATGTCAAAATGAAAATTCACTTGTATATTAAATGGCTCAACATTGCTGGAGTTAAGAGAAAATACATAATGACTAGTGGCAAAAGATGCACAAGGATGCACAGTTGCAAAAGAATATCTGGATGTATTAAGTTTAGACACTAGCACAAAGACGCACAGATGCTAAAACTTATTTTCCAATAACAGATAGTGTCACCACCATATAGCAAAAAGAAAGAAACATAGAAGAGTAAAAACATCAGCTAAAAGATGAGAATAATAGAAAAGATTTTCATAATTGTGAACTATGTATCAGTACACTTTAAGACACAATACCATGGCATCAAGATAAAATGGCTATTCAACATGTGTTGTAGACAAAAAGACATGCATACCTGTAAGAAAATGGGGGAACAATTGTTTTGCCCATGTGAAGAATTTTGAGTCTGAGATGCAGAAGAGCTCGACGTTTGGCGAAGGGGTGATATGCTCCCAACAGAAACCTGTCTAGTTAATTCAGAAGGCATGTTACCACTTCCAGATAAGGTTGGCAATCCGGAACGGTCTGAAAATGGATGACCAAATGCAAGCCAATCTTTCTCCACAAGTGCCTGTAACAGAATAATAGAATCAAATAGGGAAGCAATCCCATTAAAATAAAACATTTTAGTGGAGTGTCCAGTTCAAAGTCTCAGTTCTATGTTCATCAATTTTTGCACATATGCACTAGGTGCTTTTTAACATACATAAAGATAAAAATGTTATGTCAAAGCAACAAGCAGAAAGTTATTCATTTTCATGGTAGAAAGCATATCCCATATTCTTTAAAAGATATAAAGCACAATACTATGAAGGCAAAAGATAAGGAACAATACAAAAAGTATAAAAATGAAGAATTCCTGCCTGGTACCTGAAATCCTTTAATTGTCCGGTAATATGGATCAAGCAACAAGCTGGCAAGTGATACCAGTTGTGTTGTTCTGTCCCATCCATCACTGAAGAACACAGATTTGATGTTTTAGAATATAAAGTAACAGTTAAAGCTTAATTGACATTTTGACTTCTAGGATGAAGACTATACAGAGCATGGATATAAAAAAAAATATGGAGCAACTAAGAGCTCTGGCTATCTCATATCATCAATGTAACCAAAGAAATTATAGGCAGGCTGGAAACAGCATTTAAGTGGGTCCATATCTAACTATTCAAGTTATAGCGTTATAAGTAGAAGAACACTCATCAGTAGTAAACATCAAATTACTCTATATGGGTAGCAAACGCATAAGAACACTCATCAGTAGTAAACATCAAATTACTCTATATGGGTAGCAAACGCATAAGATATCTATCTATATTTTTCTCACTTCATTTTATTCTCTCTCTCTTTTGCAGTTGTTCTGCTGCGAATGGGGCAGTCCATATCTGTTTCATGCAGTATAGTGCTTCATGAACTTTTATGTGGACATATCTTCTTTTTATAGTTCAATTTTGTTCTACTGAGACATGATAGAGTTGGTGTTCACTAGATGGTAGAATTTCCAAGTATTCTATATTTTCCATCTGAATCAGATTAGTAATTTATGATTTATCATCCATGATATAAGAACAGATCATGAGTATTAATTGTGACAGAAATCTTAAAATGAAAATTGTTCAGAAAGATGAAAACCTAGTTAAACAAGCAGATTAAGATTCTAACTCCAACTGATAAGGAATTACCCTTTGTATTACAGACTAAAGATGGAAGTAAAAGAAGCCTGATGGTGGAAGAAGTGGAGAACAGCAGCATTGAAATACAGAAGTAGATGCAGGGAGAAGTTTACTTATATTTAGTACCTTATCCACTTTTTGGTTAAAAAAGAAGCAAACCACAACAGTTCAAGAAAATGCTTAACAATTTTATGGAATATCTTGCTGGCATGAATTTGGTTCAAAATTAATTTGGCCAACCACATGTATTCAAACTTCTTCCATTCTGCCATAATATAAAGTGAGCACTCAAGTGAAGCTCATTGGCACTCATCCCCCTTTTTTTTTTCTTTTAATTGCTACATTCAATCAATGTAGACAAGTAGGCTAAGAATGTTAAAAAAAAAAACTCTACTATGCAACAATGAACTCCACTTAGAACAAAAAAGATTCATGCAGTCAGGGCAGAAATTTGGAGAAAGCATTTCAACAAGGCAAATACAACCAACACTCTTGAGGTAACTAAATCACTTTATCCTAGCATCACTGCCATTAATGATACAACAGATTTGAAAGAGATTCAACCTGCAATGAACAAGCACTGAAGCTGATTCCAGTGCAACGCGTGCAGCAATCCAAGCGGAACCAGCTAGGACACTTTGGACATGTATTAACCAACCAGTATCTCCAAGAGTTGAAACTGAAGCAGACATACTGCTGAGATTACCACCTCCCCATGTCCATCCACCATGCCTCTGACAAGATATGATGACGATGTTAAAAAGAGAGCATTTATAAGTCTAGAAAAGGTCTTCAAAAAATCTCAGCTCTCAATTGCAACATTATAAAAAAATGGTCAAAGTGCATCCAGCCATGCTCCTCATAGAATGCAGAACCAAACCCTCTAATCAGACGGGTCATAGAGAATATTATAAACTGCTAGGGACAGCTTCACTCACATGAATACTCACAATTTTTAGGGAAAATGCAAAGCTTGCTCAACTAATCTTGTGTACTAACAAACTAGAGTTTAGCTTAACATTAGGAGTACTTACGTTAAAAATGGAAAATTTTCAGAAGGAATTGATTGCATACCAAAAATGATGACATTCCATCTGATGAGGTAGTCCCATGAGTATCCAAGTAGTCTCTTAGCCGGGCTAGACTCTCTCTCATTGCATGTATATTGTCTATCCCAAAGAAAACAATCTAAAGATGAAGAAAACACACATGAGTACATGTGACAGCCAGACAGGGTAGCTATATTGTGAGTAAAAAAGACAAAGTTGAAATTCACAGAAACATACCTCAGATTGAAAATAATTTGAAGATGACTCAGATCCACCTCCCATTGCCCCATTTGCAAGAGCATTTTTTCTTGGCCTTGCATCAGCAATGTATAGTTTCCTAGGAAGAAGAAGATTTCAATTAAACAAAAATATATTGAAAAGTATAAATCACAAAATGGCATTACTATTGGTCTGAAACTGTTTAAAAGTAAATATTTAAGAAAGGAAAAGGTTGTTTCAATGCATAGGGGAAGAGCTGATAACCACTTGGATTTGATGATGAAGAAATAACTCATCAAAGGAAATACTACGGTAAAAGGGCATCATAATGATTCAGTACAAGAAAGGATAAACAAAATGATTACCTCCGCTGCCCTCCAGCAAATTGAGTGCAGAGCGCAGCAACTAGCTTCTCATCAGTGTTACTGCAGAAAATGAGTACATTGATTGAATAGGTTTTTGTTTTTCTTTTGGGGTCAAAAAATGAGTATAAACTCTATATCTGGACAATGAAATCATACTGTACAGAGGTTTTGAGGATCCAGAATAAAGATATAAGTAACAACAACAACAATAATTAGCGAGTTAATTCCAGCAATGGTCCTCCGACTATGTTGATTTTCCACAATTGGTCCCCGACTTTTAATTTGGACAATTTAGACACTTGACTTTCAAATTCTTTCCAATGTTGGTCATTCCATCACAAGTTGGTTAAGTGGATGTCAAATGGAGGGGCAAAACAGTCCTTTAGCATGCTAAGTGTATAATTCTCCTCCGTATATGCCAAATAAATCAAAATCCCCAAACATCCCCACCTAGTATTCTCCGACAAACCACCTCCCCAATGCCGGCAACCACCATGTGGGCAGTTTCTCCGGCACCGAGCAGCAGTAGCACATTCTGGATGCTGCCGTTCACCTCCGGCGGCAGTGGCGAGAGCGGCCAAGCCCTCCCCACCGCAGCGGAGAGCACTTCCGGCTAAGCCCCATCAGAGGCCCAGATGTGGCCGTTCTCCAACAACAATTCAAACCAAACTCTCCAGTCCCACTTACAGTTCACGCCGCGCTTCAATCTCCCGGCGAACATCAATTTCCACGGCAGCAGAGGCCCTCTTCCGCTGTCGCACCATCTCGGCCTTAGAATGTCGGACGGCAACCTGGGCATGTTAGCAGCTTTCAAGAATGCTTACTCAAGAACACAAGACGAACAACAACAAATCCGAACCAAATTCGGGTGAACCAGCTTGCCGATAACCCGGATCTGGTTCTCGAATTCCCGGAACCGATGCAGGCCGCTCTCGCCGATGCGGCGGACGGCAAAGGCGGTGCCGTCGTCCAACACCGTCTTGTACATTATGCTGGAGCCGCTAGCACCCAGAATGTACGCCGACGCTTTGAGCAACGTCCCTAATTCCAGCGACGTTCTTAGCCAAAGTCTGGTCCAACGAGTCCAACTCAAACTGCAAGTACTCGGCGGACTTTCCGAGCCAGAACGGGTGGAACCCATAGTCGCCGTTGAGATATTCCGGCGTCTTGGTCGAAGAACGAAGCAAATACAGAATGGATTTAGGGATTTTGCTATTCTGATGTATGTTGCATATACAAGGAAGGGAGAAAGACACTAAACAATTGAAAGGACTACTTTACCCCTTAATTTAAGGTCCACTTAACCGTCATCTGACGGAAGGACCAACATTGGAAAGAATTCGAAAGTCAAGTGTCTAAATTGTCCAAATTAAAGTCGGGGACCAATTGTGGAAAATCAACATAGTCGGAGGACCATTGCTGGAATTAACTCATAATTAGCATAATAATAGTAAGTCACTCTTTGCAGCATGAACAAGGTTGCTTGGGTTACCTTCTGAGATTCATCATGAGGCCAACAAGTGGTTGAGATGAGCGTGCTAGAACAGCCCCAGTTCCTAACAATTAGCCAATTATATGAAGATACAACCAACAGCCGAAAGGGGTTGATGCAACGTCATTAAGAATGAAACCTGAGATTAATGCTTACCTGGATGACACCATGTAATTGCTGGAAGCCTACAACGTGCACGAAATGTACATGCCTGCTGAATCTCATCATCACTGAAATAAAAGCACAGTGCATGGTAATAAGGATAACAATAGAATAATTAATTGCCCCAAGAAAAAGACCATTATAAGATCAATCATCTCACCTGATAGACTTTGGAATAAGCAAGGCAAATGGATAGGTCGAACACATTGAATAATTAAAGTTCACGCTGCTTATTCTCCACAACTCATTAGACAATGTGAAAGATACATCTTCAATGGAACTAACTGAAGCATGATATGTTCCTAGTCCCAGGAGCCGGAAGTACTCATTCAATAATCGAACTTTTGGATCCATGTTACAGAACATTAAAGGGCCAGAAACAAAAGCAAAGAGATCCCAGAGTCTTGTTGGCCTTGTCCACTTCAATAATGCATTGTATACTGCACGTCTCTACAAATCACAATAGTGAAAACTCTATCATATAAAGTAGCCATGCAATATTATTGCAAAAGTTTGACTAAAGGTAGGTGTGAGTTTCCTTTTCATAAAGTTTGAGATTTCATTAGACATTACATTGCCTGATACCTTGTTCAAGAAGGTGAAAGGTCAGGTGGCTGGTGGTTTAAGGATCCTATAGAAAATGCTTCTTTTTTGTCTTTAAGTATTAACCAGGATACATTTTCTAACAATTTTGCTTGCCTCTTTTCTTAAAACATCTGCTTTACCTTGCATTCTGTCAATCACTTCTCTATCTATGTGTCAACAAAAAACTTTATCCAATTTCATACTTCCATCAATTTGCATAATTTCATTATATGCTGCTTTTTAAATATAGTATTCCATTATCCCCCAGCGCACACCAAAAAAAAAAAAAAAAAAAAAAAAAAAAAAAAAATAGATCTCTTTGTTTAAAGCAACTTAAGTGCAACACTATGTTACAAATTTTGAAACCAATACTCAACAAGCAGAAATTACCACTCTAAAAAATTGAATTGAAGCATAGCAACATTTACATAGTTTGAATACTCTCGCAATGATGAACGATGTACATGAACACCTAAAAATAAAAATCTAAACCACAAAGCTACAAAAACAAGTTTGAAAATGTTAAATAGTTTTATTTCTTTGAAGACACCAACTGCTCCACATGCAGGAAATGTCAGGATTGTTCACTTCCTCACCACAAAAGATATTGCACAATGTAATAACAAATTGCAGAGTACTAAAGTGCACAGACCTGCTTTGTTCGAGGCCTAAAACCAAATACAATTATTCTCATATCTTTGCCTGCCAAAATAAAAAATTAAAAGAGAGTAAAAACCAAAGTGAGCTGACCAATGTATACACTGTATAGTTTCATATGATAACACACTCAAATGATGTCAAGTTAAAAAGAAATTCCATGTAATGAAATACCTATGACCTGAAGCAGGCGCCGGGATGGATTCTTGTCTGACTGACGAGCAGCAGAGGGAAGCTTCATAACCTGGTCTCCAGTAGAGGAAACCAAATATAAACACTGTTAGAGATGTAAACTAACCAAGTTGACCCAACTTTCAAATGTTTAGATTTGGCTTGACATACACAAACATTGTTATGTTCGGCTTGTGTAGTTTTCAAAGCTAAAATGTTATAGCAACTGCACTGTGAACGAAAGACGAAAGTACAGGAAGACACAGTCATTTACTGCACAGTAACAAGTTCAATTTCATTTAGTTTGCTGCATAAGCTTTATGATGACCAGGTGAAAAATGTGGCTGCACAAGACAAGGGAATTATGGAATTTCCCAACACACAATGAACTTCATCAATAGCTACCCTTTATTTTCTTGTCAAAAAGAAATTAAGATTTTCTATACAGTAACATAATTGAAAAAGGAGGTGGGGGATAGAAAAACAAAAGAGCAGTAATTTTATTTAAGTAGAAATTCTAGAAAAATAGTATATTCATAACTCCTGAAATATTCAAACACAATAAATTATATATATATATATATATATATATATATATATATATATATATATATATATATATTGTGTGTGTGTGCATGCACATGAGCTTTTTTTTTAAAGGTAAATAAAAGTTGCTATATTTTTTCATGTTCCATTTTGTGCATCTCTTTAGTAGCTTAATCTTACTAATATTTCTGTTTCATCATGCATGCCTATCTTCTCTTTAATGCACTGAATTTTTAAGCACTTCATTACAGATGCATACTAAAAATCTTTCTTTGTCGAGTTCAGAAGGTTGATGGTCTAATTGTAAAGGTCTTAAAATATAAAGAACACCTTTAGCTGCATTTCTCAATCCAAAGCAAAAACATAAAGAATGAGAAAATGTACTTACCATTTTGTTAAACTTCTCAATAGTTGCCAGTGCTATAGTGCCCAGTGCAATGATGTCCCTTGATCCTTCACTCTAGGCAGTAGAAAAATGCAAAATGTGAAACTAAATAGAGACTGCCATAAGTGACAAAAGAATCACATCCAAAGTGCTAAAATAAACAAGCAAATCATAAATTTGACTAGCAATCAACCATGCCTACAAAGCCTATAAAATAATTACATAAGACTTGAATGGAACCCTAACAATTCACTGTCTTAACTCTTAATTAAGTTTTCTAATGCAACATGGGAGGCCTAGAAAAATAACATGCATCAAAAGTGAAGAATATGGCATGCTGGCATTTATTTTAAGGTGGGAAAGATAGAAAGATAGTAAAAGGCGGGTGAAGTACTTACCAAAAATAGAAGTCGAAAATTTGTAACAAATAAGGTTCCAGCTTCATCGGTGTTAACAAGAACAATGCCATTTCCCTGGAAGCAAGTACTTAAAATTTTCATAAGCCCTGACATCACAAACTACTATTGCACAATTAATGAGGAAGAAAAATAATTACTCCTACTTTCCCTAAAAATAATTTGCCACTTCACTACATTTGGCCAATTTGATCAATCAAATTTTGAATTAAGTTTCAACAATGATATATGTGAGTAATATGAAGTGTTGTTAGGGATGTGAAAGGGTGTTTGGGCATACAAAGGTTGATTAGTCCAATAGTCCTACTTGTATAAATACCCATGTCTCTCCCAAAGTGAAAAGGAATGAAATAAGCTCTCTTCTTCCTATCTCTCTAATTCTTCATTGGGCCTATTTCCTTTCTTTTCACTACATATCTACATATATTTACAAAAAATTAATTAAATTTAATCTTTAATGCAAAAGTAACAGAGTATATGTGAAGGGTCATGTAAAATGATGGTGGTAACAGTTTAGTGATTAGGATAGATAGGTGGTGAAAGTGCCATGAGTCGGTCAGGTATATTTTTTCATTGGGAAAATTGATGGACAATGATTTTCATTTACTAATGGAAAAAATAGGAGAATAGTCACTCTTCCCAGCAAAAACTATCATCCTTTTCTATTGCAATATGTCCAACAAAAGCTGTCATTTACAATAAATTCAATAACACATACAGTTTTATCACCTAAATGTCATTTTTAAATTGGATGAAAAAAAAAAAAAAAAGTTGCACTTATACATTTAATATATAGACAAACTTGGAATTATACACAATTAATTTTTTTTTTTAGAATGTGTTAAATACATTATCCTAAATCCACGAGTTTTTTTCCCTACCAATATTTTTAGACGAAGGGAGTATCTTTTTAGTATTTTCCAAATACTTTTGTTATATTGGAAATAGTATTTTCCATTCTCTACTTTATAATTTAGAAAATAGTTCATTTTGAATTTTTGGGGAAAAAAAATATAAGAAGGATAATTTTCCCTTTATTGACCAGGCCCCAAGTATTTTGTTCACAAAGTATTCTATTGAAAATAAACTTTTTAAAAAAAATTGGAAAATGGTTTTTCTAACCTAATAGAGAAGTTTGGGGGGGGGAGGGGGGGGGGGGGGGTGGAAAGAGGTCAAATAAGCCCTCGAACTATTTGGGAAAGTTCATTTGCACTCCCTAAAAAATATGTCATCCTAAATTTCTTTGGTAAATGGAAAAACATTTTTCCATCTGTTTTTCAAATGCAAAAACACATACGAACATTCTTACTTTCACTCATGGCTACCACCACTGTCTACTTCTACCCTGTAATGCATCAATATTATTCCACTGCAACTGACACACTTTCTCTTACTACCATCATCATTACTGTGAACCGTCAAACACCTTCATCCACCACCATTGCTCATATTCAGCCTAGAGTAAGTGTTGACTATCTATCACTGTGACCAATCACAGAAGGAACCAAGCAGTGCATTGTTCTCAAAATTCAAAAACATCAAATTTGAAACCCAACCAAAAATGAATATAACCTAGAATACAAGTTTTATGTTTAATCAATTTTCATAGCAACTTAGTTTACCCAAAATTTCCTATACTTGAGATAATTTACTATTGTCATATCTTCAGTCAAGCTATTTATCTAAGCAGAACAATGGAACACCAGACCATTTTTATCCCATTTTCCAGACTAAGTTCCATTTGAAAAATAAAAAATAAAAAATGACAAGAACAAACCTCTACAATGACCTGCTCAGCTGGAAGCAAGAACTTCTTAATTCCCTGCGACACCGACCTCGAAAATGGCTGCCAATCACAAGCGATAAAAAAAAATTTTTAAAAAAAAGTATTCAGAGTATGGAAAAAGAAAAACAATTTCACTCCACGCATCTATGAGACAAATACAATTGAAGAGAACTGTAGAATAGAAACCCTACGGAACGGAAATGAAAAACGAAAATTAATTACTTCAATTTTGGTCCATTCAAGGGCGTCCCAGCTTCCGGCGCCTTCAATCCTCTCGGACTCGGCGAATCGAGTCCCAGGGTCATGGAACGAGGCGGATCGCGCCGACCGACTCCTGTACATGGTCCGGCGGCGACACGGCGGCGTTAGGTTCTGGTAGCTTCTTTTGTTCTTTACTTTCGCGAATCTGTTTCCTTGATTTCACGGAAATTGAAGAAGTACGGCTCGTAATGAGTTTCACCGTACCCTGTTCCCTCTTCTTTCCGGAAGAGAGAGGTGTGGAGGAGAGAGAAATATTTTGTTCGTTTAATTAACACTCCGTAATTGTTAAAATTTGGCACGTGTCTAGCGCGGGTTCCATCTTGCGGGGCGGTTAAGTGCAAATTACCGTCAGACTTCACGGTAGCGTTACTGTCAAGTAAAAAACATTACATCAGACAGAACGCACAATTTAAAAGAATATAATTTAATACATTAATTATGTTTTCCTGTTTCTATTAGATTATATTATAATAAATGCATTTTTTAGGGGTAAAGAGTATGTATGCTTCTAATACTTTCTTCACTCTTCTTATAAAAGATGAAATTACCAATCTTAGACGCTTCCACATTTCCAATTGCGAAGATGCAAATCATGATAACTCAACTGATTTTAGACTTTTGATTACTATACATAAGGAGCTCCTTCATTTTGAGAGGTTGCTCTCACACTGTTACTCGTGAGATCCGATCATTGGTCTCTTGTGACAAATTTCACCTCTTAAAAGTGAGTCATACTGTCATATTATTAAATTTATAAATTTTTTAGATTCCTACCATTTCAAATTATTCTAAAAAGTTATACCATTTTCAGTATTTCTCATCGCATTAACAAAAACTACACACTAAGTTCTATTTTATCTGTTTATTTACTATTCATTGATCAAACCAACATTATCTTCTTGATGAGACCATGGGCCTTGTTTTATTGGGAAAATCAATGGTGAAGTCTTAACCCAAAAAGAGTAAAGGAGGCATTGGGGTTGGAAGGTGAGAGAGCAAAAAGAATTAAAGAAGTATAACCAACATGGTTCAAACCCACACCATTATGCACTAGAGTTAATACATCCAATGGTCCTTCGAGTATTAGGGTTTACTAGCTATGATCATTCGAGTTTTAAATGACATCCAATGGTCCTCCATGTTTTAGGACTACTGGAGGTCATTTAGGACCACGGGTGGTTATTTTTTAAAACATGGAGGACAATTGGAGGTCATTTAAAACTCGGAGGACCACATCTGGTAAACCCCTAATACTAGGTATTAATTCTTATGCACTACATACATCATGCCCCCCCCCCCCCCCCCACCAGTTACTGCACAGTAGGTTATGCATATTCGGGTGAAAGGCGATGTGGCAAGTAAGCAAGAGAAAATTTCACTTAGAGCATTTCACTTACTGGCCAAGGTGAAACAAAAGGTAGGCGAAGCTCTAACTAATTTTCTTGCTCGTTCGCATACATAGGAGGTAGAGGCATATGAGATTAACGACAAATCTGCAATCACCATGTCCATAGAAGCATTACGGGTCGGGAATTTATACTAAAACCTTAAGCGCAAGACCCTAAGCACCTACATTGCCTTAATGGCAAAGGCTGACCAATACTTCGAGGCCAAAGAAGCGAATTGGGCCAAAATAAATGAAGATGATAGGTCTTCCAAGAGATACCAACAGAAAAAGTTCTTGAACCAAATAAGGTGTCAGAATGACCTACAAAATGGCACTCGGAGCAAAGCGGGATGGCTGCCCAAGAGCTAGACCCTTCATCCCAAGCGGGCCTCCAAGATAACACCTAACGATACCTGCAGCATCGATACTTTTGACGCCATTAACTATAAAGCCAAACGAGGCCTACGTCGAGCAGGTAAAAAAACAACATTTCTAGTGGTGGACTCATAGGCAAGGGGCTCTCAAGATGGGTAGGCAGCATGAGGAGGTAACATAAGCATTTTTAGTTTCATTTTGACGATGGGCTTACTAAGCAAGCAACCTAGAGAAAATTTGTGATTAGGTTCGTAGGATAAGGTAATAAAAACACTTTATATTATACTTCTTTAGTGTTGGGCCCACAACACATGGTAGGCGGTCTAAGAGAAAAAAAAATGATTATGGTTGGACTTGCAGGCTAGGTAAGCAACTCAAGGGATAAAAGAAAAAAGTAACAATGTCAATTCTAGTGTTGGGCTCACAAAGCATGGTAGGCAGCCCCTACACATCATCATACGGGACTAGCAAAGCAAGGTAGGTGTCTATGTACACATCATCATACTAGGCACGCATGCAGCGAATGCAACCCAAGGAACCTACAAGTAGGAAAACGGTTCATTAGCTCGCATGTAGGGAAGGCGGTAAAAAATCTTACTTGGGCCCACACGGACGGAAAACGACCCAACGGGTCAGCATATGGGGAAGGCAGTGAAAAATCCTACTTGAGCCCACATGAAGGGAAGGTGACAAAATCTATTTCTTTTTCCTGCAGGGAACATGTGAGGGCTTAGTCATCCTGACGAATCGCATGGAAAGCAACAGTGACCAAGCTATCCAAAAGAGGTTAGAACCTTTCGACCTATACATAATAAATAGAGAGCTCTTACCTTTAGTTTTCAAGTACCTTTTTTTTTTTTTTTTTTTGTTGTTGTTGTTGTTGTTGTTGTTGTTATTGCCAGTAAATATGTAATTTTCAAATATTAGTCTTATGTTATACTATCTTACGGATCTTTTTTAGTAATGCGGGTCGTGTTTAGATAGAAATGTAATGCTTATGTAGCCAATTACCATGTACGGATTGAAGAGTTACTTATTAGAGAAACTATAGTACATTAGTACATATGAGAGAAAGTATAATTCTTATTAAAATTTTGATATGTTTCACAGATAAGGATCCATGAGAAGGTTTTCTAGGAGATTTTGTCAATTTCCAACTATTCTCATTTTTAAAGTTTTTATAGAATAAAAGTTTGTATTCATTAAAATTAGATAATTGAATATTTTAAAGTGAGATATTTAAAATAGAACTAGTATATGCCGACTTATTACTGGCCTAAGAGCAACTACATTTGTTGGATCTCAACTCTACACTATGTTTACTTCCATTAGGTACGTCACTCATTTTGTAATGGTGGTAAGTCAAACACACTTAACCACAAAGTTTTTTGACTATCTGGTTGTCATATCTTATTTAAAATCAATTGGTGATAAGTAGGTGAACATTAATCATTTAACCACATCACTCTATGGTAAGTCACAACGCCACGTCTCGAATTGAGCATGGGCTAAACTTGGCCAACACCCATTTGTAGTTTTTAGGTGGTTTTTGCAGGAAGGAAACAATCAATGGTTGATTTTTATCTAATAGGAAATGGGGGTTTTAAACTAATTTTTTCTCCTACAAGTCTGCACATTTTTCTCCTACAAGTCTGCGCGTGTGCAGCAACACTGCTGGGCGCGTAAATAACCTTAGTTTTTTTTTTTTTTCTTTTGATGTCAAATTTTTTTCCCTTTTTCTTTTCTTTTTTTCCTCTTCTCACTTCATTCTATCTCCTACATGGTATGCAAAAACCCACAAAAAAACTATAACAATTGAGGTTGCTCTTAGAGACATGAGACTACTACCCAGGTTATTTGGCTTGTTACTCAATAGCTCCATTGAGTTATTAATTTTGAAACAATTAGACGAGTATTTTTGAAACATTTTTATATAAATACATAAGTATAATATGCTTTAAATAATACAATGTAATAATTAACTATTTGGTGCTTCAAATATAGGGCTAGCCGATAAACTAGCTTCAAATATAAGGGTTGTATAGTAGGAATATTTTAAAGCTATGAAGACAAAGTATTATTGATTGGTTATGTGTTACAAAGCTATTAGGCAATATCCCTATTTATAGGAATAGATTCATGCTACCCTAGCCCTAGTCATATTCGGACAAGGCAAGGGTATACAAGGTTTCTTTTAGGACATAACTGCAATTTATAATACTCTTTTTACACTATATGTCTATCTTTATAATAGACATGCTAGGAATACTCTACCAACTCATTCCTTGGCCCCAACTTTTTATTATTATTATTATTAATCTAGCTAGGCCCAAAATTCTTCAACACATCACTATTTAAACTAGTGTATTACATGTTTGCAAATAAATGATATGTCCTAGCATCATGAACCATTTGTCTCACTGATGATACTGCCCCGATCAATGATAATGCCGTGGAGGCAACTGCAATAATGGTATTTCCCCAGAATATTAAGCTTTTCTTAGAAGGCTTGAATGTAACATTGTAAAAAACCATAGGCAAAACAAAGTCTAAAGGAATGCAACCAAATGCCCCGAATATTGCCATGATGTCACCGAAGAAAGGTAACATTGCAGCTAACGTCGTCGCTACCACTACTGTTGTCGACCGGGCTATTAATCGTGGCACAACATTACGAATCGACAACACATCCTTCTTCGCATCTGCAAGTTTATTCTCTAAAACAACATTTGCCGGTTGCAAATATGTCTACATCGTGCACACCCACAAAAAAAAAAAAAAAAAAAAAATCACAATCTTTATAAAATCAATCTCCTTTGTTATGATTCTTAAAATTTTCAACGTCTTACCAATGTTACAGCTGATACTTGCGTTAAGGTAAAGACATTAGTCATCAAAAGGAACCACTTGGGGAGCAGAGGCTTTCCATCAACCATGAAGTTTTGGAGCACTGATCCTTGAGCTTGGTTTCCGAATGCCCAATACCCAGAAATTGCGACACTGAAAAATGTAGAGATCACAACAGAGTAGCATACCAATAACCCTTTTAACATTTTTCCTGTTACTGGAGGTGCTATGGTTGCCTGCAAGGATGATTGCACAAAATAATAAGCACAAACATTTAAATTCCAACTTTTTTTTTTTTATAGAGGGGGTATTTGGTAAATAGTTGTTAGCTGATTGAGTTAGTGGGTTTGACTAGTTGATAGCATTAGCTGATTGTAGGAAAGTGTTTGGTAAATTAGTGGTTAGCTGATAGCTGATTACATGCAAAATGATTTTATCAAAAAGCTGGTAGAAAAAGCTACTTTGAGCAGTTTTTCGAATTTTAGCATTTTGGAGCAACAAGTTGTTACAAAAAATAATTAATCAAACACTATATTGGTTGTTTAACCAAGTCAAACAACTAATCGATAGTGGTCAAATAAGTCAAAATTGGCTGATAAGCTAACTATATTACCAAACAGAGCCAGAATTAT